TTCCGAACCAGGGAAAATCTGATCATGTTTCTCTATAACAATAATAAAAAACTTTATTTTATATACAGTGGTGTGAAAAAGTGTTTGCCCCCCTCCTGATTTCTTATTTTTTTGCATGTTTGTCACACTGAAATGTTTCAGATCATCAAACAAATTGAAATATTAGACAAAGATAACACAAGTTAACACAAAATCCAGTTTTTAAGTGAAGGTTTCTATTATTAAGGGAAAAAAAAATCCAAACCTACATGGCCTTTTGTGAAAAAGTGATTGCCCCTAAACCTAACAACTGGTTGGGCCACCCTTAGCAGCAACAACTGCAATTAAGCATTTGTGATAACTGGCAATGTGTCTTTTACAGCACTCATTATTATTACTACTGTTAATTTGCTGGACATAGAGGTGAATATTATTATAAGGAAGACAAAGGTAGCGATTTGCATTAAACAATTAAATCTCTCTCTCTCGATGCTGTAATTGCTTTTCACTCTATTGTGTACATACTGTACTTTAATTGTATATAGAGCCTTTAAAGGTGGCTTCTTAAAGCGCTTTACAGGATAAAAACAACAATAACAACAACAATGCAGTACATTAATATAATTATATCGTTATTAATTTCTTTAGATACGCGATTCCATATTATATTCCCTATTAATCAAATTCTAAAAATATGCTTGTTTACTCCGGTATCGAGCGTATTCGCAGAACAGCTTAAAACTACCACTTTTCTCACAGAAAAATACTCAGAGTACCGTATACTGTATAAACGTCCAGTACAGTAACATGGTCTGAAATAACCACATGTAAGACTTTGATGCCTAAAATGTTTAGGTAGAAATGGAATACTGGTGTGTATTTTTTCTTTAAAGTACCAAGACCAGCCATATACAGTTTACATGATATGTTTATGTTCCAATATTAATATCGTTTATGACCTTCACATGTCATAATCCTATTCTTTTTATGCTCAGCTACTGAAATTTCCCTTCAGTGGTAAAATTCCATATAAATATTCAATACTAAAACATGCACAATAAAGACATTAAATGATTAAATCCTTCCACAACTGACCAACACACCATGTGTGCCCCTGTCGGTCATTTTGACCAGCCAATCACGTACCGCGGTATGTCACGTTATGACGCGTAATGACGTAGGGAAATGCCTGCGGTACGTGTTTGTACCACACACTTTGAATGGCTGCATCTGTATATCCTAAAGCAGAAAGGGAATGATGGGTTTACATTTTTAGTTTTTCCTGTAATAAAATATTTTTCAGCAAAATAGATACTTATTGGAAGTAGTGCTGCCTATTTAAATGCAATTGACAAGACTAGGCAGTGAGATTATATAGTGGTTCAGGTGGGTAGCTGCTTCAGTCATCAACTCAAATTTTAACAAGTAAAAGTAAATACAGAATTTATATATATGTGCTTGATAACCTAATAAACTGTTTAATATGTTCTATGAAAAAAATAGATAATAAGAAATAAGTAAAAAATAAATTAGATGTAAATAAGATGTAGCCAAACAATTGTTCCTGTTAATATGGTTAAAACATTATACATTATTTTTCCATAAACTTTTATTGAACTATACATTACATTTGTAACAGTATTTTAAAAACCATTTAAAATAAGCACATTGGCTTCCATAACACTGCTAATAAAATTTAAAAATACTGTGTGAAGTGTAGTTTGTGTCCTTACAGAACACTTCTTTGATCCAGCTTGATTATTAGTTGGTCAGCAGTGAAATGAGGTTTGGGTAGTTTTACGTTAATCAAGTAAGAAATTAGTAAAAATCCAATTATAAATGGATTTACTCCATAAAACATTTTCAAACAGAAAAATACTCAAACTCATTTAAATAGGACATTACACCTTAATATGTATTTACAGTTTAAATTTCAAAACAATTTTATTGTCATTCTCTTATTTCAGAATTCCTTGAACCAGTATCTCAATGCACTGGAGTTGATTAGCCCTGATGTCATAGTGTTCTATAGACATGAATCAGTTGTACTCAGATGTTTCTTTTCACTTGGACCTTGAGGTAAAAATAATTTTCACTTTTATCAAGAACTTAAGCTATCTATTTATCAGTGCATTGCATTCAATTGATTTATTTCTGAGCCTTTGCACATATAGTAGTAATTAAATGCTACCCCACTAAAATGGAGAAAAATGAAAGACACAGTAGATCATAAATTAGAGGTTTTCAATACTGATATTCAGTCATTAAAGGGACTCTCGGGAAACCAGAGAAACCATTTTCAGTTTTGTTTACCGCAGATGTTTCAGAGACCACTCAACTTGCTATCATTCTTCAGGCTACAATTGGAGATATTACTACCCAGTATAATTGTTTTCAAACCTAAAACTTTTACAATGTGCTGGAGACACCGAAAACGATAGCTACAGAATGCAATTTTTCAGCAGCTGATAGAGAAAAAAAAGATACATTTACCAGGATAGATAAGGGGATGATATTTGGTGATATTTAGTACTTTTCCACCTTCTCTGACCTTGGTTGACTGCCTAGTTTTGATACCCAGGAAATGTATTCCTGCTATCTTGCTTCTTACAGCACTCCTTTTTATTCTTTCTCATATAAGTCATTTATTTGAACTGTATAGTCTAACTTTTAAGCCTCTGTTTGCCCTACCTTCCTGAAACCCATCCATTCTGAATGCACATTCAGCCATTCTGAATACATGACAAATAATTTACAATAGTGCACCATACATACTGCATTACAACCTGTTTTTTTTATAATTTAATGTAGGAATGCACTACTTTGTAAAACAACCAGGTGGCCCATTGAATCCTTAACATGGCATGTGGAGGTATTCTGGGCTATCACCATAAATGCCTGTTTTCAAATTCCACTAAATTCTCAGCCCCATAAGGACTTTTATTAATTTTATACTGCATATTACAGTATGTTAAATATTAAATTCATATTAAAAATGAAAGGACAGCAGAGCTGTTTTATAAAACAGAATTACTCAGCCGGATATATAAAAAATTAGTTTACTGGACGTTTATTCCAGTTTGGAATAAACATTGTCTATTCCGTTTATTCCAAATTAGGCATTTATTCCAGTTAGGACATTAACTGATGTAGAATGGCAATGTGATAAAGATTGTAATACAGAATGGCAATGTAATACAGACAATTTTGTAATACAGCCCTGAAAATACAATTTTTTCTTTACATTAAGTTTGTTGAATAATAATTATGGCTGAAGAAGATCTGAGTAGAAGCATGAGAAAGCTACCAACTTCTGAACACAGTAGAAGTGGCCCAGTGAGCTCCAAAGAAGATGGTGTAGACTCTAGTCTCCAGTTCTAGTGGAGTTTAGAGACATCAGACAGGATAAACAACATATCTCTAATATCATCTTATCCCTCTTATATATCTTTATATCTTATATCTTTATCCCATCCTTCAGATGAGACGTAAAACCGAGGTCCTGACTCTCTGTGGTCATTAAAAATCCCAGGGCATTTTCTCAAAAAGAGTAGGGGTGTAACCCCGGAGTCCTGGCCAAAATTCCCATTGGCCTTCACTAATTATGGCCTCCCAATAATCCCCATCTATGAATTGGCTTCATTACTCTGCTCTCCTCCCCACTGATAGCTGATGTGTGGTGAGCGTTCTGGCGCACTATGGCTGCCGTTGCATCATCCATCAATGGATCCTGCACATTGGTGGTGGTGGAGGGGAGTCCCCATTACCTGTAAAGTGCTTTGAGAGGAGTGTCCAGAAAAGTGCTATATAAGTATTAGGAATTATTAATTATTAAATCAGATACAGAGGTTTAATTTAATAAATATTGCAATGTCCTTTTCAGTTTGACGTGCTTAATTTATCATTTATAATTAAAATCTTTAAGTACACTTGCTCTCTAATGACATTTCCATTGACATATTAGATATCAGGAAGATGGCCCCACTGACAAACTGGCCCCAGACATACTGACAAAGCTATTAATTATCCAGTCATTGCAAAGGGTGCTATGAACTGCAGCAGACACAAATTAAAAATTAAAATAAACTTATTTTTTTCTTGATTAGGACACTGGAGAACGTATATTGATCATGAATATGTAAAGTTTCACTCTCTTGTATAACAAGCATGACGTTTTTCTGAAATATGAAGCGTCTTAATTTTTTAAGTATTTGCTGCCGATTAGTTTCTGAGAGTCATTAACAATATTGATATGGATATATGATATGTTGATTGATCTAGTTGTGGTAAAGTATACCACTTTCTTTGTGTAGCCCGGTGTGAATTTATGTAAATAATTTTAAGATGCACATTTTTGTGGTTTTAATTCAATTAGTGAATATAATGTGAATGTAAATATATTCAGGTGAAATGCAAGTTAAAGAAACATTTACTGTGTTCATTGAAAGAAACATTTACTGTGCTCATTGAACTGGAGAGGGTCTGAGGCTACAGTACATGTCCCGAGGAAAAACAAAAAGATGGAGAGCATATAAGTAGTATAAAGCGACACTTTTCGTCAAACTTTTCACATGTGCCACGCCCCCCTTTTTCAGCCAATGGGAGTCCACGGTGGGTGGATGCCCCGCCCCCTTGTCATCCAATGGTGTGTTGTTATGGGTCGGATGTCCTGCCTTCCCCCTGCCGGTCCGGCTGGAGCCTTAGGGTCCAAAAGCACCTGCCGCCACATCTCTCAATTTATAAATAAGTATATGAAAGCGTGTATTGGGTTGGAAGGCAACCATGTCTGGGTTGAGTACGCTCTATTATAAATGATGGAGTTACGGCGGCGTGGGGAGTCTGGTGAGGGGCACGAGATCCCGGGGTGTGAGCGGTTGTAGCCAGGGTCGGGTGACAGTGTGGTTGACCCTGACAGCGAGTCTCAAAAAACATCATGGGTTGTAAGCACACACACACTGACTGTGTAAAGTCTCACGGAAAGAACTCCCAGGACTGTGAAATATGAACCACTTTATTTCAGCAGTAGGTTTTCGAACACAGAAACATCACAGTACACACTTTTCATGCAAGTTACAGTCTCCTGTTTGCAAGCATGTGAAATGTGAACCACTTTATTTCAACGGTAGGTTTTCAAACACAGGAACATCTCAGTACAAACGCGTTACCGGCTTCTGTTTGCAATCAACAATTAAATGTTGGTGTGGAAAATTAGTTCGGTACACGTAACCACCACCCCAACATTGCTGAGAAACTTTGAGGCATCTGAAAAAGCATTCATAACCCCCTTCCACTCCCCGTGTCTAAAGCCATGCGAACCGCACTGGGCAATTCTATCTAGCAGAGGAAAAAAATTTGCCTGAGTAATCAGTGGGATGGTGTTACCACAGGTTCTGTGCAAAACATGCTGTATTTTGGAATACACACTGCAGAATCCCCCAGGCTTCCGTTTCTGATCTGAAAACATCGGATCTGCAATAATTTCACTCATGTTCTTGACATACACATCTATCTCTTTAACAAATTTAAGGACATTAGCATTCGACTCTTTGTTTTTCATATCAAGTTTTGTAGTGAGAAGTGTATAAAGCACTCTTTGTAAGAATTCAGACGTATATATTCAAAATTCTTCATTCTTCGACGATGGCACACCCAGGTCTGTAAAACAGAGTGAAAGCTCCATTCACATGGCGTGTATTTCTCATTTTACATAGTACTTTTTTGGCGTTTGTAAAAATAAGAATGTTTCTTTTGCAACGCATCAAAAGTCACGTCTACTAGTCTACTAATCTTTCATCTAGCTGGTCAAGTTATTATGGTGAGCGGTCGTCAATAATTTTTTTCAGCAAGTGTTTTATGCGCTCAGTGTTATTTGTAATGGTGTATGAACCCAGATACCTGCCAATGTACAGAACAGCCGAAAAAATTTGGGCTAAACTGAGAGACTTATACATTTCTAACGCGGCAAACATCACATTTAGTAACCGACAACCAGGCATGTGTGACCCCGTTGACCAGGGTGGTCAATCAAACAGGCCAGACATTCATCAACTGGAACCCCCTTTAAACATTGTTTGAAGATGCAACAAACTACAGCCTTCACAACCTGGGCCATAACATCAAGCATATTAGGGACATTGTTAGCTAAACCTGGTTGTGTATCAGCATTATTAACATTTTGACTAACACACAAGCATAGATACGCGTTGGTAGTTTGAAGATTGATGTGTCGACCTCTTCGTTATTCTATTAAAGGAAAAAAGAAAAGCAAGGCTTAATAAAATAAATAGAAACGCTTTGTACCTAAAATATCTATCATTTAAAGCCTCTTTTGAGTTAGGGTTTTTCGTTCCCCCCCAGTAGCTTAATATTTACCATTTGTAGCAGTGTTTCAACACCACTCCCTGGTGGTTCTTCAATACCAGGTTCCACATCCGAAATCACACGACAGGTCGGGTTTTGTTAAAAAGAAGTCCAAGCATTAAAATGACAATGACGATTGAAACAACAATTCCACGATCAGAAAAAATATTTTAGCAGCCTACCTCTTCACTTTGTAGAGCAATGGAACCCGATGTTTCTCCACACAAGGAAGCCATCTTCGTAGCTATCAACACCGGTGGGGTGTCTGACAGCTCAAGGGACACTCTGAGCCCCCGTCAAGCCCCCACGCCATAACCACGCCTACATAACACAAGACATTTTTCAATTGGTTGTGGTGTTACATCTGATACTCTCCACCCCCCAAAGCTGCATGTGTTTTATCGAGATTGAAAAATATTCACTTAACGGCTTAGAAGTTTTTTAAGTCTTTAAACTTTAAAAGTATTAACATGCAACAAATGATGTGTTTGCACAGAAAATATTTTTTTTAGTAGAAAGTTTTAACACGAGTGGATTGGTCTTAAAGTTTTAAAATAATTAAATAAGACACATTTAGCTTATTTTTAATGACACATTTCCGACAACTTTTCAAAAGATTGACTCAAACGATGTGGTGTTGTTCTTTATATTTTTATGGCCTGGTCACATTTCCGAACAGCTTTTCAGAAGTTTGAAATGAATTTCCACACACTGTGCACGTAAAAGTCTTTAAACTTTAAAAGTATTAACATGCAACAAATGATGTGTTTGTGCAGAAAATATTTTTTAACACATGTGGCTTGGTCTTAAAGTTTTAAAATAATTTAATAGAGATCTTTGGGAGTCGTGAGGGGGGTCGGTGTCACGACCGATAAAGGCTCTGGGATCTAGAGACAGTGTATGCATTTATCTGTTAAACACAGCTGGTCAATTTGACATCCGGAGTCCGGAGGAAGTATGTTGTCAGTCAGCAGGGGGCTAAAATTGATCTCATAGTGAAAGTTCATAAAAGTTTTAAATTTTAAGTGGGCACAATTAACAGTAACAATAAATGGTCGGATATAGGAGTTACAGTTTTTCTTTTGTTTTAAATGTTGTTTTGTATATACATTTTAGGATTATAACAATGTAAAGTTTTCTAATTTATAATCGCAAAATGTAAATGTTCCTAACTCGGCATTGCAAAAAATCAAACCATTTTCGCAGCGTTTTAACAGCTATGAAATTTAGACAGACACAGCTGTATGACTTAATATAATATAGATTCTAACATTATAACGGTCTTTTCTAAAACGCTTTCTAAAAATGTTTCTACAACCCAATGCTGGCACACCCCATGATACCTAAGATTAAAGGATGTGGGGGGGGGGGGATCTATCCTACAAAAACATGTGTTTCTTAGAAGAGGATGTGTATCAGGGGTGTCGGGGGGATGTTCCGCACCAACGTGTATAATAACACATATTGTGGCCGCTGAACTTCTGGCAGGAGTCCAGTCGTTATTGACTAACTTGTTAGAAGATAATGGACCGCGCTGATCAAATTCAACAGCCTGAAGACATTTTATTTACAGACTTAACACTACTCTATTTGATAGACGAAGACAAGGATTTCCAGCATTACACAGGTATGTATATCTAGCTTATTGTGAGAAAATTACAGCGTCACTGTGCATGTCTCATGTTGATGTGTTCGTTAACTAAAGATGCAAAACGTTGTATAATATTTGTATATTATGCAATGTTGAATTATTATAATGGAATTACCAGGGAGTTGTTCCGTAATGTGACAGTGACTGTGTATGACCATACTTTTCCATTAGATACAAGGAAAACAACAGCTGTAAAAAGACCAGTTACGGCACCCGGCAATGCTGGTGAGTAATTACAACAATGTTTTGAATAACACTTTACGGCTATGTCCGTCTTAAAGACATACGGGTACTTTCTCCACATCAATAAACGCGTGTGTGTGTGTTTCACAAACACTGGGGAAGGAATGAGCTACACGTTTAAAAAACCTCATTTGTGCTTTACAATACCCCCTCAAAACCTTGTGGAGACACAGGCAGATGTTGACGTTATACCAGAGGGTGAGTAGCATATTACCAGATCGCCTAGGAGAAGAGGTCAGTATTAGTTAAGAATTGTCTGTGCTGAGTAATAAAACATTCTTTTAACATACACATTTAAAAGTATCTAAAACTAATAAGAATTCTTTCACTAATGGTATTTTCCCTCTCCCTGTAGAACTTGAACCTTCAAAAAATAAACTATGACGCATTGCTAAGACGTTAACCGAAACAGCGAACTCAAAACGTCTCAAATCAACAAACAAAAGTTAATATAATTTAAGCGTGGTCAAGATGTGGTATGAACCACTTCCTGCAAAGTTACTTCTTTTGTTAGGATGTTAATTCGTTGAAAGATCCTAGTTCTCATAGTTTTACATTTTGGGTGTTAAAAATTCTTATTTTTAAAACTGCTTAAGGCTTCGTATTTAAAGTTAAAAATGACAGGTCTGCGGCATGTGTCTATATACAGTTAACCTAATCGCATGACCCAGTAGCACCATCACTGTCTTAAAGGAAACCAGTGTAACAACATCAACATGGCCGGGTAGCTTGTTCAATTCTCTCACAATCCTTTGTGTAAGGAAGCACCATATGTGTGGCATTTTTATCCTAATTAACGTAGTTTTCTGATTTTGATCGTTTAGATTGCATTGACTGGCGTGTTGAAAAGTCTTTTATTTTTTATTTTTATCTTGGTGTAGTTTTCTGATTTTGAGATAGGGCTAGGGTTAGTATTAAGTATTACTAAATATTAAGTATTAGTATTAAGAAGTCTTTTATTTTTATTCACACAGCAGCTGTATCGACGAGCAGTGAAAAAAATGTGGAGGAAACGTCAGACACTAAGGTGGTGACAGCGTCGAAGACCGCCGTTAATATGCCGACCAAAACCAAATGTGTCAAGCCTTTGGAGAGAAATAATAACGCAATTAGAGACTTGGTGTTTGGTGATGTGTGAGACACAGTGCGATATATTGCACAGTTACTATCAACCGTGAGCACTAATGAAGTGGATAAAAAACGGGATTTAGAGAATCTAAAGGCGGCTTTAGCAAGTGTACATTCCGTGTTTCCAAAACCGATCCAGGTCTATGCTGCTAGCCTCTTATACATAATTTCTAAAGAAGATGCCACTCTAAATTTTGGATTTCATAACCTGATAATGCTATTTCATGGTTCATTGGCGAAGATCCCCAGGGATAAATGACTAAGCATGCGGTCTAAAAAGTGTTTAAAAGACCAACCTCTTGCCAACATCAAGCGTTTGTACATTAATAAAAGAATTAAACTGGAAAAAGAATGTTTGTTGAGACATAAAAGATTCAGAGAGAGTGTATTATGTATTTTTATCATTAAAATCTTCTATAATTTAAAACATACTCTAATAATAAAATCTAACTGATATGTATATTATATTGACATTTTTATTACTTTTATGTATCTCAGTATGTTCAATATTCACTTTTCATTCACAATCTTTTAAGCCCTTAGTGGTACTGGGTACATATCAGATATTACATTGAGGAAGGGAGATGGTCACTTCAGCCTCAATCTCTATCCCCTTGGACAGAATGATAAACCAATTTGCAAGAGTTAACTCTCCGGCACTGCAAGGGTGCAGTGTAGCAGAGACAAGCACATTTGCAAGTTAAAACAAGACTGTGAACAATGAAAAATAAAAAAACTGTATGAAATCATACCTGTAACAAATTAATGCAAGTTAAGTAACAATCACAAAGTTTCCAAATTATTAGGTGTTAATTAAGAACTAAATAATTAAGAACAAAATAAAAGTAATTTGCTGTCAATAATGTTCTTAATCTACAAATCAGTGTTCAAATTGTTAAATTGTTAATCTGACTATCAGATAATAAGTAAAATACAAAATTAATAAAGAAAAAGGGTAAAATATCATTTTAAATATTTTGCTAACAATCAACAAAGAATAATAATTATTAAATATATTAACTAAGGAATCAGATGACACAGTGGTTAGCATGCCTTTTGTATGTTTTTTTTCATAAATACAAAAGTAGCACCAGATGTCTCAGAGGCTTTCAAAATTTAATTATGCATGGAAATCATTGAACTAGAAAGATGACTAAGATATCCATTCACTTTTAATGGTGGTGCAGGGATTAGCTTTGCTATCTTGCCGAGGCCCCAGGGTTCAATTCCTAGGGACTTCGCATGTTCTCTCTGGGTTCATGTGGGTTTTCTCCAGGTGATCTAATTTCCTTTTACAATGGGTATTTATTTTTATAAATACTTGATAAATACATCTTTTCACTGTTAACATCCTGCAACAACTCTGTGACAAAATATACACTGAGCTCAACCTGACAGCTGCTGAGTCCTTAGTTCATCCTGCTACCAGCATTGAAAAAACAAATCTTTAGATTTCTATATTTATTTCTTTATTTAGTAGTTCCATTAGTGACAAAGGCTAAATTGCTTTCTTAGAAAAATGTATTTTATGTGTTGCAAAAAATGACTTGCTGTAACAAAATATATTTACAAAAACGTTCCCCTGGCAATCTACTTGAATGCCCAACTGTTTGAGAAACCTTCTATGAAACCACATTTGCTAGTAATTCATATAAGGGCTCTCTTTTTCTACTCTCTGAATAGCTCTGTTTTTCATGTGTGCTACTTTTCTGACTCTCTATCCTATCAAACCTTCAAAATCTATATACTAAAAATGCACCTGATTATTCAAACCCCTAACTCTCTGCCAAATCTGCTTCAGGCTCACACGTTCTTTTGTAACACACACCTTTATGTGATTTTTGTACACCTAAGCTTTTACAAGTGTTCCTGCATCCCTCTTCTGCACTGTCTGGTCATTGCTTTTTTTCTGTTTGGTTATTTCAAGGTAACGCCTGCTCCAATTCTAAAACTTTTTGCTCATGTGCATTTTTGTATTGTCACTTTTATTTACATCTCTAACATCTCAAATTTTCATTTGTCTTAATTTAGTTTAAAACTGAATTTTAGTTTCAGCCAAATAGAGAAGTTTAAGTTTCTCTATTTTATTTCTTGCTCTACAGAGCTCTTTAATTGTAAAGTTCACAGCTTTTTTACATTGCTCTATTAAATGGTCAGGTAACTTGGACAAAGTTATCATTGTATTTGGCATCCTGCACTACTTGGACATAATCTATTGGACCTAATGTACACCCTGGACATATAGCAGTTCTATTTATATTGAGTTTATGTTAATTTTATTCTATTGTTATTGCTCTGTCCTTGTGTAACTTTATTTTGTAACTTGTAATTTTGTGATCCCCCCCAAGCTTGCAGAAAAAACATTTCATTTACAGATGCAGCCATTCAAAATAAGCGAGGTATTCTGCAGTAAAACGCGGTGGGCATGGCACAATATACCATATGCAAATTAGATTATGATAATAGTATATGGAAGCACCTTGTAAGACCTTGTAAAACCACCAGGTGGAGCTAATTATGCTTAACATCTTATGGACAGCTTTTGAGCTGTCGCCAGAAAACACTGCTGAGGGACAATATTTTTCCAATTAAGAATTTAATGTATTAAACTGTGTATTACAGCATGTTAATCATTAAACATTAAAAAGTCGGTATATTTTATAAAAGCAAGATTGCTCAGTTGGACAAAAGTACACAACCTTCCATCTTCATCATAAATATTTTAATTATGCAGAAATATTTTATGCATCAAAGTCTTTATGGAAGATATAAATAATAGTATTAATAACGAATTACCTTATAGACAGCATTACCCTATTCTTTGTAACCATCTGCATCTATTTTACTGTTGCAACACGAAAATACTTTATTTTTCCATTGACAAAAACTAACACCACAGCATTTCGTTGATCTGATCACGTATTCATTTCCAATCATACAAAGTAAGTTTTGAGTATCTCCAATTCACCATGCTTTTCACATGCTCATAAATGATATTAATTTAGGAACATAAACATATTATGTAAACTCTATATGGTTCGTATTGGTATTTTAAAGAAAAAAAAAACAAAGAATTTGATTAATAGGGAATATAATATGGAATTGCGTGTCTAAAGAAATTAATAATATAAATATATTCATATACTGTAGCTGAAATTATCACAGTAGTTCTTTGGAAATATCTGTTTTGGTTTCAATATTTTCCACGTGATTACGTCTGTGGCATAATGGGTTAAGTGTGTGCTTCCAGAGTTGTAGGTTGGATGTTCAAGCCCAGCTATCGAGTTTTCTTTTAACAAATACAAATTTCTTTGAAAAACTAATAGTAAATATTATGGACACTATATTTATATGTTTAGAATTTGATAAATATGGAATATAATATGGAATTGTGTATCTAAAGAAATGAATAACGATATAATAATATTCATATACTGAAGCTCATATCCTGCTAAACTACAAATTAGACACAAGAAGAGTATTATTGGACAATGTTGTGAGGCTCTGGCAGTATTTCTCTGTAAACTGAAGAGTTATAGAGGAGATACGTTGTGTATCGCCACTTTTTACACTTGTAAAAAAACACTCCAATGTTAATGCAACACAGAAGATTGTTAAGGATTTGTTAGAGGGACCGAAACCAGCAAGTGAACCCACTTGCGGGAGCTGACAAAGCCTAGCAGTGATCCAGAGAAAGCCATAGTCGAAGGAGTGAGCCGAGAGTCCAGGGGAAGCCAGAGATCCAAAGGGAACGAGTTACCGAAGCCGAAGCGTGATCTGAAATCATGGACAGTA